CTTCCTTCCTTCCTTCCTTCCTTCCTTCCTTCCTTCCTTCCTTCCTTCCTTCCTTCCTTCCTTCCTTCCTTTTCTCCCACTTGTTAGGCAGACAAACCTGGAGGGCGGGGGGGGGGTTGCTATCCAGGGGGGATTATCCTGGGGGGATTATCCTAGGGAGCAACTGTGAGGCTGGGGTTGCTGTTTATGGTGGTTCTGCCCAACATTTACCTTGTCCCATAACAGGTCTCTGCTGCACCTGAATTCATTTTTCAACCAGAATTCAATGCTAGTTCATTGCAAGTCCAGCAATCCATATCATGCTCCTAGGCCCTACAATTATTCTTGGGAAATAAAATTAGCAGCTGGTGGCATTCTAATCTATTGAAAGCAAGGCACCTTCTCCAATGAATGAACAGAAAGACCCCATTAAAGCAGGTGGCAAAGAGCATCTCGGGGGGAGACGGGGGGGAGACAGCAACCTCACCAGTTTGTCCTCAGGCAAATGGCTGTTCTAGGACTGGCCAAGCCCACCCCAGCAGCCACTTCGTGAATCTACCAAGAAGACCATCTCAATATCCCTCCAGAGTTGCCAACTTCACTTGGGAGGTGTGAAATCTCTTCCCCACTTGGTTATCCGGCAGGTGGTGCACCTGATCTTCACTTACTGCCCATTACACTGCACCTGTTTCTCAGCGCTAGTCTCAGCCGGGATTAGTGGCCTAGTGAAGCCCATGTTTACACCGATGATGGCTTTCTAGCTGGCCAGGCAACCAAGCAGTTAATCACCTTCCATGTCTGTTTCTTGTTTGCAACACGATGTGGCTTTACTTGTGAACTCTGCAGCGAAGGAATCTTAGTTTTACCATGGAAAATGCTGGATTTTGCAACTGGCATTCCCATTGCCCACCTGCATCCTTTTTTCTAAATGTTGTACCATTTATTCCTGAATTGTTTGCTCTTTTGCATTATAAAATCTTCCCCTGATGGAGCTCTGGGGCTTGCAGAAGTTTCCACCCGCCCGCTCTGCATTTTCACAGAGGCCACGGTCTGCCAGAAAGAGAGTTTTGGTTTAGAACCACATCTCCTGCAGCTGCATGGGGAAGGCTGTGGCTTCAGCTCGGTACCTGTTTCCTGGGTCTTGTCGCATTCTGCCACCTGGCTCTGATTCACATAGACCTCTCCATCTCGCAGAAGCCAAGCCACCCCGCTGACAAGCTGCACAAAGGGGTTCTCTGTAGCTAAGATCTCCTCCTCAGAGAGGTAGCTGGAAGAGACAACCAAAAAGGAGGCTAAAAGATTCTAGAGAAGGGTTACAGGTAATCCTCGTTTAGTGACTGCCTCATTAGCGACTGTTCGCAGTTACGACGATGATGTAAAAGTAACTTTGTGACCAATCCTTGCATTTATGACCTTCACAGGTCTGTAAAGCAAAGGAAAGCCAAAGGAAGATCATAAGCACAGTTGTGATTTCACTTAGCGACTGCTCTGGTGGACAACCAAGCTGCCAGTCCCAACTGTGATCGCTAAATGAGGACTACCTGTAGTAAGAAAAGAGCATACCAACACTTACCCAAAGACTAAGGTGCCATCTTTCCGGATACCAAACTGAGCATTTTGCACTCCACCAGAGGTCCGCACCAGCTGCCCATCGCTGACAACATTCCCTAAGCATTCTCCAGTGTTTGTATTAAAATAGCCCCCATTCTGGGCCACAAGGCACCGGCTTTGGCTTACTGTCTCTTCCACAGTGGCTCTGCGGCGGATACGGCAGCCCCCTGGCCCGCCGGGTTCTAGGACAGAAAACGTCCTCAGGGGGTCCCGCACAATCGTCAAGTGGCCGTACACCTGTCGACGATTTGGGCCATGCGGCGGGAAATCCGAAACGAATTCATATGTAACGGCCAAGGGGGAGGCAGTGTTGTTGTCGCTGGGCCAGGTTTCGTGCGTTGTGTTGCCACGCAGGAGAGCTTGGCAATCTCGGACGTACCGATGGTGGTGCCGTGGGCCATGCCGAGCAGGAAGATATGGCAGCAAGAGGTCATCGTCCAAGGAATTCCTGAAAGTTGCCCAGTTTGAATGGCAACAGGGCAGGTTCGGAGAGAAGCAAATGAGTGAAAAGCTTCGTCTGACTTTGCCTTAATGTGGGCAGCAAGTACAGCACAACAAATACGTTTTTGATTTGTCTTCCACCCAGCCGGCCTTCGTGCCTGAGGGAGGACTCGCTGTCTCTTGGTTTCTAGTCCAGCACTTTAATCACTGCACCAAACTGGCCCTCAAACTCTTCTGCGGCCTCTCCTCCCCTGTCACCACCCTTCCACCGGTCACTTTCATTGCGGTCAGAGAGCCCCATTGAGTGAGGCAGAGCGAGTGAGAGGAGACGCCTGCGGCTCACTTAAAGAGGGCACGTGAAGGAGGAGTCAGATGGCTGGAACACACTGGAGACAGACCTGAAAGGGAGGGACGGCCCAAAGTCGCCCAGCCGGCTTTCATGCCGAAGGGAGGCCTAGAACTCACCACCTCCTGGTTTCTAGGCCAGCTCCTTCACCAATACACCAAACTTAATATAAATG